TTAAACTAGAAATATTTTAAGTAATGCTATCTAAATCACATCTGCGCGAAAAATCAGCAATTCTGATTTCAGTTTATCCAAATTTTGAAAACTAGAACAGTAAGAATCAAAATTGAGCACATTATAAAATTTCGTCTGTATAACAGACGTTCGGTTATTTCGGTTTCGGTTATAACCGATGGTCGGTTTTCGGTTAATAACCGAACCGATGCACTCCTATTCGGGATATACGTCTCGAAAAGGGTCTTCTCCTACGACACTGGGCGAATATGTGCGAAAAAATTGATGAAAGGTTCGGAGAATGAGCTGGCACTCTTCGAAGTTGGGATGGGGATCGTCGGCTAGCGTTCGTTTGTCAAAATCAAAGAACAGCGTTTTAAAATTTAGAGATGTTGTCAGGTCATCTAGTTTTTGGTTATATGCTTGGATTTCCTTGTGTAAAATCTTTTTTGCGAAAAATTGTGAAAACGAATGTTTTTTGTTCTGTTCATGATCTTGACAAACGAGATGCTACCTATTATTGGGTAAAAGCGGTGCGAAGTCGTCACAAGCTCACTTGACAGTGTTCGTGGCTTCCATACGATATCATTTGTGCCAATAACGAAAGTGACGCCGTTGATTTGCGCTAAAAGATATTTGAGCTGGCCACTGGTGATTTGTTGGATGTAACCACGTATTATGTATACGAAGATAATCGGTACATAGTGGAGGGAGAGATTGAGACAAAGAATCGTAACACTGGGAAAAAACAAACTATTACTTACTTTAGTTAGCTAGTTCAGTATAATAATGTTGAACAACTATCATATACAAAGAAAAAGAACATAGTTGTTCGATCTAAATAACGTTTATTCTAAATAGTTTCAAAACGCTTTTCCTTATTACACTTTTTAAAAAATGACCAGATACGTACACCAAAGTACAGAACAAAGTTCATCCCAACCGCCAAGTTATAGTAAGTGTATGATTTATTAAAGAACTTAGTTTATTTAAAACTGTTATTGTATCATTTAGCGCAAGCTACAGAAAGTTGATACAGAAAAGTTGAGTTGAAGCTACAGAGAAAGTTGAAGTGAGTTGGTATATAGCCGGAGCAGCTACACCGATGCCTCCATTGTATCCACTGCCATCCGTTCAGCCGATTTATGGTCAAGTATTGCATATGGTACCAATGGTAATGCTTGGTGATATACCCGTACCTTGCAATTGTAAAAATTGTTATGCAGGTATTATCACCAGAACAGAAAAAACGGCAGGTATATTAATATGGTTAATTTGTGGTGGTCTTGCCTAATTCGGCTGTTGTCTCATTCCATTTCTTTTTTTGAATCGATACAACGTAAAATTAAACTTTCACTTTCATTCTCTAATGAATGTGAAAGTAGCGAAAGAAGAGCGAATAACTGATAAATTCTAAAATTCCTGAGATTCTGAAGTTGTCAATCATTCTGCAATTCTCTCTTTCTCATAGTTATGGAGTTCTGAGACTCCTGAAATTCTGTTAGGAGACACTTTTCCAATACATGAGCAAGAGTCAAGTTTTCTGGAAATGATCAATTTCAACCTTCATTCGCCTATGTGTTTATTATGTTGATTCTACTTTGTATCTATCTGTTATCTGTCGTTCTGTTCTAACCTTTCATGTCTTTTTCTTCACATATGACTTTCGTTCCTCTTCTTTTCCGTTTCTCGAATATATGTACAACTCTATTTTTTCGTTTCTATTCTACAATAGGTATCATATCATCTTCTAGGTCACGATAACCTATACTTTGTATATAACATTTTTCCCACTATCGTTGCTTTGTTCTCAATGATATCAGTTGGGTATTTTCACAGATGTTGTGGGATTTTTGCGTTTATGTGGACTCTTGTTTAAAGTACTATGTATAGAAATGTTTTCTAAAAGTGTGTGTGTGATATGTCGTAGTTAGTTCATATTGAACACAAATAAAGTTTATTTGTGCGATCAACTTAATCAACCTAACAATTCTGAAGTTGTCATGATATTGAAATTCTGTCTTTCTCGAGGTTGTGGAATTCTAAAATTCCTGAGATTTTGAAGCTGTCATGATTGTGAGATTCTTTCTTCCTTGAGACTATGAAATTCCGAGATTCGCGAAATTGTCAAATAGTGATATTGCAGAAATTGTTTCTATCTTGATATTATGAAATTCCTGAGGTTCTGAAATTCTAGAATACTGTCTGTCTCGAGGCTATGAAATTCTGAGATTCTGAGGTTGTCATCATTATGAAAGTCTGTCTTTCTCGATGTTATGGAATTCTGAGATTCTCACGTAGTAATAATTCTGCTATTCTGCCTTGCTCCAGGTTACCGAACTCGGAGATTCCTTAGATTTTGAAGTGATCAGAATTTCGAAATTCTTTCTTGGTTGAGAGTAAGAAATTCCCAGATTCGTGAGATTCTGAAGTAGTAATAATTATGACCTTCTGTCCTTCTCCAGGTTATCGAATTCTGAAAGTCTTGAGTTTCTCAAATAGTAATAATTCTACAATTCTTTCTTCGTTAATATTATAGAATTCTGAAATTGCCGAGGTTCGGAAAATATGGCATTCTGTGCTTTTCGAGGTTAGTTGTCATAATTCTAGAATTCTGCCTTTCTTGGGCTTATGAAAATCTGAGATTCCTGAAGTTCTGGAGTTGTGACAATTGTGAATTCCTTTCTGCATTGCTATTCTGAATTCTGAAACTCGTGAAATTCCGAAATTCTAGAATTCTGTCTTTCGCGAGGTTATCGAATTCTAAGATTCCTGAGATTCTGAAGTTGTAATTACAACAAAATTTCATAGTCTCAACGGGGAAAGAAATTCCTAATAGTTAACTATTGTGAATTTCTTTCCCCGTTGAGATTATGAAATTCTGAGACCCGTGAGAGTCTAAATTAGTCCTCATTGTGAAATTCTGTCTTTCTCGAGACAGATTGCGGAATGCTGAAATTCCTGCGATTCTGGAGTTGTCATGATTTTGAAATTCTGTCTTTGTCGAGGTTACGGGATTCTTGGATTCTATAATTCTGAGATTCTGACGTTGGAATAATTGTGAATGTTTTTTTCTTGCGATTATGAAATTCTCAGATCCTTTAGATTCCGAAGTTGTCAAAAAAATATAGATTTCTTTCTGCTTTGAGATTCTAAAATTCTGGAATGGTGCCTTTCTCAAGACTGTGTAATTATGAAATTGCTGAGATTCTGAAATTGTAATAATCGTGAAATTCTTTCTTCCTTAAAATTCTGAGATCTTAAATAGTTCTGAAATTCTTTCTTTCTTGATATGATAAAATTCGAAAGCTGCTGAGATTCTGAAAATCTGGCATTCTCGAGACTATGAAATTCTTTGATTCCTGAGATTCTGAAGTTGTTATCATTGTAGAAGTCTTTCTTCCTTGAGACTTTATGTTTGAGATTACGATCATTTTGCTTATTTTATTTACTGAATATGTGGTGGGTTGAGATATGCTGATGAGACTCATAATTGCAAATACCTTTAATTTTATGACCACATAATACTAGAACAGAACCTGTCCCATCCGCATATTCGCATCTTCTTGGTAGGCTCAAACTGTGACATCACGTCCTTCGTCCGGATGTGGGTTCTAGTTGACACTTCCAAAAAGTGGTATTAGCTTCTTAATGACACTTTCGAACGTGGCGATACCATCTTATTGACATTTCTGTAAGTGTTAACAGCAAACAGCCTAGTCAGTTGTATGAGACTAACTATGCTAACTTGATAGGAGCAGACTACTCTTGCACCTTATTAAATAGTTTTCTTTCTGAATAAAACAATTTAATATTTTTCTCTCCTGAGCAAAACCTTTAATATTTTTTGCCCAACTTCGATTACAAAGGATGTTTTGTCTTGCTGTAGTTAGGCATCTGACTTACCACACAGTCTGTTGCTGCCATCTCACTTGAAGAAATTGATAAAAAACAAAAACCACATAAGAAATCACTTTATTAATATTAAAAACTCGTTAGATTCAGTGCTCTCTGTTAGTATTGTGCCTCTTTTGAGAGGTGTCCAAACATGAAGTTTATTCCGCGAGTCAGATCACCTTATACGGCGTACACCCTCCCTTACTTCTCATGCTGTCAGTTCCTCATCATACCAAAACGTCGGTTTCCTACGGTGCTTGTAATGCAGTTTCATATCCTAATCTTCTGCTTTTTCTGATAATTCATATGCTCGGATTATCTCATATTGTAATCTTCTGACTTCCGTCTCACCCATTCGCCTCCATACCTTTTGATTATCTCATATTCTCATCTTTGGAATTTCCGATCTACTGACTTTCTGATCTTCTGACTCTCTTCTCTTCTCAGCCATTCGTCTCCATATCCTTTGATTATCTCATATTCTACTCTACTGACTTTCTGAGTTATATCCAGAAGATCCTGTAAATATATCCGTGTAAGGTGTAATTTTTCATACCTTTCAACATTTCACGCATGGGTTTCAGCTTTTCGTACGTAAGATAAAATAAGGTGATTTAGTGCAGGTTTTTACTACGTGATATTGTCACCAAATCACTCTCACTTAAGGGTCTCCCCGCCACACACACCGAAGAGATGTTGAAATGTATGAAAATCTGATCAAACATCTAAAAATCAACTCACATGCTTGCATTCTGTATTGCTCATCAGCTTTTTCAACATTTCAGAACACGTAAAATATCAGAAAATCATGTAAAACAGAAAATGTGAAACTAACATAAAAGCAGCGACGAAGAACGTCAGAAGGTCTGAAGAATAGACAGTTACAAAACTAAGTAACTCAGTGCATAGTCCTAAGCGTAAAACGACTCTTGGAATAAATTCTGTAGTTGAATACCTATGCTTTTTTTGTATTAATATTTTTGCCATATTTACAAATATGAAGCAAAAATTGTTGCAGTACATGAAACATAGTTTTCGGAAACAAAAAAGCATTCGCTCGAACAAACATTGTTTTTCCTTCTGTATTTCATACCCGGCTGGAAATGCTCTACGGGTGACCTAACAAAGGTTGAGGTATACCCGCTGTTTACCGTTAGAAGATACGTCTGGATAGAGTGATAAGTGAATGAGTCAACCAGTCATACATACATCGGAGATCTCAACCGAAAACATTCCTTCAGAATGACATTCTTCTAGTAAACACATGATAATACTTACAGCTGTCCATCTTCGCCCGTTCACCCCTCAGCGCCACTCATATTCCAGTATGGGTATAGAATATCATAATTTTGTTGTATACATGGATATACAACAGTTCTAAGAAGCGCTTTTATTTCCAAACTGTTATCTCAAAGCAATTTCTTATCTCTGAACCTATCGCGGATTATTGCACTTCTATACGGAGAAAAAAAAACCGTGAAATTCATGACGGTTTTTATACGCGGTTTCTCGCAGTCAGTTTGGCACGGTCTCTTTTCATTTTGTTGTTCATGCTTTTGTTTCCTATGGTTCCTATATGACAGTTTTTCTTTGACGGTTTTAAAACTGTTAGACCGTCCAGATAAAATTGTGCAATACACGTATTTGAAATACAAAAGAGAAACGCGAACTGTATAAGTGTGCACATATAGCATATGATACCATAGATGTATTCTATGACGAACGCCTAGAAACTTATGGATGATATTCACTATATCCTTCCCCTCGACCTTCTACGACTATAGGGATCAGAACAATTACAAGATAATCGCAGGATCAAAGAAAAGAATTTATAAAAGGAGAAAGTTCACAAAACAGGCACATTTTGCAGAAACATGCGCTGGAAGACGTCCTCTTCTCCTCCCTGTTCCAAGTGCCAGTTTTACTCTTTGATCTACTCGGCTATGCTCTTTATTGGATAATCCTGAGTGTGAGGTAGATTTGTCGAAAAGCCTAAGACTCACTCTGTGAAACTTATGTTGTTGATTAGGAAGACCTTTTGAGATGCCAACGACTGAAACTGCATATGTTTGAAGGAATTTTGACTCTTCAATAAAACTGTCAACTAAAAGGCCTTTACACGGCTTTCTCTAGATAGCTAAAAGTCAGATCTATCTATTTGCATAATACTGATTTTCTCCGGTGAAAGAGAATTATTAAATATGCACATGAGACTGTTCATCATAAAGCGACCATTAACAAAAGAACTCATGCTTCAGATCTTAATTTTAGTGTCGGGAACTGTATTTATAAACTCATGTTGTA